CACTACCAACCCCTCCCGGTCATTTTCATCACAACAATGTCTGGTGTATTTTTTCTGGCGGGTTTAAAAGCAACGGTCCCTGCTGAGGCTGAGTCACCTAGTGGATGTCTACTCAGCCCAGTCTTTTCCCACGCCAGTCCCACCTGGGATACCGCTTGGACAAAGGGATTCCTTGATGTGCATCTTACTTAAACACCACTAACTTACGATATTACTGCAGATGGGTCCAGAGACCTTGGTCACTGACAGCTCTAAGAGAGCAAGGAGCTCAATGGGGCTAAGGGAAGGGGAAAAACCAGTCCTTTCCAGTGGACTTAGATTTTTCTAAGATCTACAAGAGACTTTTCATTACACTATTTTTTCAAAAATGTGCCTTAAGGGATTCTTCAAAGTGATTCCTCCTACTGCATTCCACAAACACAAATTTCTACTACAACCGCTATTTTGCTAAACATAAATTACAGCTGTTCCTTTGCTTTTCAGATGACTCGCTATCCAGTCATTTGAATAGTCCTAGGGCAGCAGGAAAATAGTGTTCTCCCCCAGTAAAACAAAGGCAATCAGCAAAGGGCAACTTTTAATCTTGTATATTAGAAAGAGAGGTCGTCACTGCTTTTTTGAAGAAGTGAGAATAGTAATGAGTAGGAAGTTGAAGTAAAAGGGGGGTGCTTAATGCTTAAGTATTTACTTCTCTTTGGTTAACAGGAGTCACCTTCCCTCCCACAGTGATAGGTTGTGGAGATGGCTCTAGCAGCAAACTAACAAACCCAAGAACATACAGGTGTTCAAAAATCCATTTCAATTAAAATACACCTAGACCAAGGAAGCTTAAAAAGTATCCTATGTATAATTATAGTGTGGACATAACATTTAAAAGTCATTATTTTTCATACTAGCAACAATATATTTTCTGAAACAGCTTTTAATGGCCACATTATTTCCATCCTTACAAAATCCACTTTGCCAAAGTATGCTTAACAATTTCCAGGTTGGGATCAACTTCAACAAGGGATAGCAATCACAAAGAGCACAGAAAACAAGTTAGGCCCAGTGACTTTATAGCTTAATGATTACATTTAAATATTTTATCTCTACAACTAAACAGACCAATATATGAAAAACCACCCTATTTTTTAGTGTATTAAAATATGTAATCTAAGACATTACTATATCTCCTACAACATTAGAAAATTGACTTGGTATTTTCCTATTATGCATATGAACCTACTTTAAATATATTTTTAAAGAATAACACTGATGTCTAAGGAACTTAAATGTAATTGGTGATCAACATTAGGAGCACTTATATTAGCAATGGAGGGGAGAGGTCAAGAATATGCTGTAGAACAGAACCTGAAGAAAGAAGTGGAGGTGGGATTGCCCCAACAAAACTGCAAATACAAATAGTACACCTAGGGGCAGGGGAGAGCATTACAACTATCCTAAGGAAATAAGGGGATTCTCTAGAGGCAGCATGGGATCCTGGTAAAATGTTCTGTGTTTTCTCCTTCTTCATTTCCAACCTTCCCATTTTTCCATACCAAGAAAAAGTGTTTGCAGCATGCATCATACATACCACAAAAGACAACACAAAACAAGCAAATAAAAACTGTCAAATATTTGTCTGGTTAAATAATAGCAAAAGAAAATGGCAAGGGAATATTGCAAAGGGACAAGTTTCCCAACTCGCTGCATTCCCAGCATTTAAGCATAGGACTTTCACCTGCTGTACAGCTTTGCTCTCTCCAGGGACTGCTTTCTAGCAACTCACTCTTTTAGTTCCTTGATGCTGATATGGGGCTGAACAATCCATAGAAGCCTCCATTTAAAGAGGTGGCTCTGATAACAAATCTCAAGCACCAGTGGGGCCCTCAAGTAAACAAAGACCTGAAAGTAACTGGATATACAGGACTAGAGAAAGAAAAGGCAAAAGAAATAATCATAGCTGGGAGCCCCTTATCAAAATCTACTTCAGCTTTCTCATTTTACAGAAGAGCCAAGATCTCAAAGAAGTGTATAATTCATAATCACAGAGATGATTCTGGTAGTGCTAAGACCAAAACAAAGGTTCCAGTTCCATTTTCTTTGCACGTCTCAAATCCAAGTATGGTAAAAAAAAAAAATTATAACTTAAAAGAAAGTAAAGGGAGAAAGGAAGGGAGTGAATGGAACGAGGGAGAGAAACAACTGCTTAGATGGCAGTGAGGTATGAACTGGCCACTGATGATTTCCTAGCAAAGTGGTATAGTTGCAGGGGCATAACTTGATCATTGATTGAGACTCTTGCAGGGAACCAGAAATGGCTCCCTTGGAACTACATGGTGTTATATACGTGTGTGCACATGTATATATCCCTAACAGGTGTTTTGATTACTTCATATTTTATGTCTATATTTTTATTTTAATGAAGGTTAGACAATGGATGGGTAAATTTGTAAGTTTACATTCTTTCTTTGCCTGGCAAATAGGTAATTAATGAATGGACTTTCGATGGCATAATATTTTTAAAATGGGACTGTAATACTATATTTCCTTGACATATTAACTAAGATTATTTTTTCCACTATTGTAAAATCATTTCCTATACCTAAGCACATGCTGTTTAGTCTTTTAACGCTGAGTATCATCAACATAAATTTATGCTCTGTAACCTAAA